GCACAATGGATTAGGGACAGCCGCTTCCCTCTTGGTACGATAAAGAAGAGTATAATGAATCTTTTGCTCGGGCCTGGGCAGATACACCCCCACAACAGCCTGGTTCCGCTGCGCTCGCTGTTTGGAGTCTTCTAAAATAAAATGCATCTCCCACTGATACATCGTCATATTTGAGGTAAGATATTTCCCTCCCCTCGCTGTTGCTCGTTCTTCCCTTCCTTATAATCTGTCGCATCTACTCGTTGCTTTCTTTCCCACTGTCCTATTCTCCTCAATCTCATTTATCAATCCTTTCACGCTCCCCATCATCACTCTATCATCATGCCCGACATTTCTCACGGCTGACCACACAGCTCCAATAGCCCATACCAACTAATCTACTAACTCCTTGTGAAAACTAATGCTACCATCATACTCGTAATGCCTCAAAACCCCATAATCGAGTCTTCACTCGCTCGATTCGGCTGAGGAACGAGCGAGATATTTCCTTTTTCCCTCACCACCTCCACTTTCTTTTAGCACCTTCGCGCAGCGTTTTTCCGCTGAGGAATGAGCGAGATATTTCCTTGTTCTATACTAAGTTTCATGCTAATCTGACCCCGAATTTGAGTTCGCCTAAACTCAAAACATCAGATTTGCATCTTCTCTCGCCTGATTCGTCAAGAATCGGGCGAGTTCTGCACTCTTCCCTTCGCCACTTCTCTCTCCCTCTCCGCCATCTTCGTCCCCAGTCTGAATGCACCTGGCGTGATTTTGCGCCGAGGTTCACCCTCCTTTCTCATGCCTTCATGCTTCTCTTTTGCCAGCCTCCCTGTCGCAGCGTCCAGCCTCCCATCCCGTCCTCCTACGCGCCAGCTGCCTCAACATTCTTGTTCTCTCTCTCTCTCTCTCTCTCTGCTGCCCACCCGTCACACCTTTTATATGCCATGCGCTCTTTCGCTGCGCTAAGTTGCTCCTCCTATTTGCGCTAAGCTGCACACTCACTCGTGCACCGCACGGGTCTTACTCTGGACAGGCAATGGGTCAGCGGCCACCAAAGTCCAAGTCCGCTGGAACATCTGTTGCTGAATCAATTAGCCCCGGGGCAGAAACCGACGAGTGCGACCTGCGCTCGTCCGTCGTCGTGATCTTGGCACAGCCATGGGTCGATGGGCTCGAGGCTTGCTGCTAGCCTAAGTGTGGGGCTGGATTGGCCGGGCCCGATCCTAGTGGTAGTAGCCAATGCTCCGATGAAAACGTTGAAGACCAAAGTGGAGGCGGGTTCCATAGTAACGACCGTTGCAGCCTGTACTGATGCAGGCCTCCCGACAGTACCCTGGGCAGGCTCACACCCAAACTCTCGCAGGCAGACGACGGGGGTGGACTGCACCCCGCAACAGCCCCTACCACCCTCAAGTTGTAGCCCCACAGGCTCACTCAGAATGCTCTCCAATTAGGAAATGGGAGAAGTAACGACCACGGACCTCATCACTTTCCATGCAGGTTGACCTCTCCAGTCTGTGCTTCAACGCGGGAGGGATCCAAAATTCTCGCCAGCATCCCCAACTCACAGGAACGAGAACAGGCCAACTGAAAGAGGCGCGTGGTCAAAGTCCTTGATTACCGTGACGGCCACCCGTGCCCTACGGCTTAACAATGAAGCTCGTCGGTTCCGGCGTCGGCCTCAGAGCCGATCACTGGATCCAAGGCACTTAGCAAAATTTAGAAGTAAGCAAAATGATAATAATAAGAGGAAACATGAAGACCCAGAAAGGCAAAGGGGACAAATGGTCGCGCGTCCCGCTGGCCCGTGACGCCGCGCACACCCAGGTTGCGCATGATTGCACCTCCCCGTCAATACCCCACGCGCACCGCTCACTTGGGCGAGGACCTAAACTACCTCCAACTCGCGCGCCGTCAAGCGAACGAGGCTGCATTAGTGCGACTTGCAAAAAGCATGCCAAATACCCTTGTAAGGGTATTTGGTACGACAGCGTCGAATCCAAGATAATATTTTGTTGGTTAATGAACTTCTCAAGTTGTCTTGACAAGACAGACAAAATGCAGCCGTGGACTTCATTGATTTTGAAAAAGCATACGACCACGTGGATTGGCTCTTCCTGGATAAATGCATGGACAAAATGAATATTGGCCCATCCTTTCGACGCTGGATCCAGATCTTACACCGCAACGCTACTACATCCGTCTAGGTAAACGGCCTTCTAGCACCGGTGATCTCGTTGCAACGATCGGTCCGCCAAGGAGACCCTTTGACCCCCTTCCTCTTCATCATTGTGATCGAGGCATTGGCGGCAAACCTCCGGGCTAACAAAGATCTAACTAAACTACAGATCTTTGCTATCCCGAAGGACGAGATCCCTATTTGCTCGATGTTTGCGGATGATTGGACTATTATTGTGGATACCACCTCCGAGAATATGGAAGAAATTAGGAAGTTGTTGGAGAGGTTCACGACTGTCTCTAACATGACCGTTAATTGGGGAAACATAACTCTGGGGTGGTGGATCCACCATCAAGGGGCGCACCCCCCGGAGTTGCCATGAGTTAAATGGTTACCAGAGGCGGCCCCGGTCAGCGTCTTGGGAATCATGTTGACGACGCATGGAAGACCAGCATCGAACGATGACTGAGTCCTTAAATCGGCACTACAGAAATTAAGACTGAGAAATGCAATGGAATAGTAAACATACTTCTCTAATTGGCAGGGCACTTGCAATTAACAACACAGTGTTTGCGGCTCTCTGGTACAAATTCGCAATCTGGGATCTTAGAAAAGAAGCAGTTAAATCCCTTAAAAGGCAAGCAACCACCCTGTTGTGGAGAGGAAACAGCGAGTTGCTAAATGTCATTAGTCGGGTGGCCTGGTCGTCGGTGATCCAGCCCAAGAACAAAGGGGGCCTGGGGATCCTCGACCCCGACATCTAGGTCACGACATTGCTAATACGATGGGCGAGGAGAATGTTGTTCACGCCAGATCTTCCATGGCTCTCTCTTGCCTTGGAGCAAATCGCCAGATTAGCCCCACAGGCGCCGCAAGGTGTGCACCCCTGGATGTGGTTGGGAGGACCACTATTGGTCCATACCACGGCGCGCTCACACCATCAAGAGTTCGGGTCGACGAAGCAAGAAGAGACCTGTGAAGGGATGATTTCTGGCCCCGGATTCTTAAAGCATGGCGCCAGCTGCCGTTGCCCGACAAAACCCCGCCAACCACTTGGGAAGAGGTGAAGCGACAAGCCCTCTTCGGCAATAGAAATATCACCGTTAGAAACAGGAGGGTGTACCGCAGTTCGGATTCCCCACGGAGTAGCTGGGTCATAGAGGGTATAGTCAAGGTCAAGGATACATCGGACTTAAAGAACAAAAACTGAAAAACGGTACTACAATTGACGGTCTCCATGAGGTATTGTCATGACGTCGAGAGAAACCTGGATGAATTGATTTTTGCGGTCCCTCTTGACTGGGCCCGCATTTTGCGTAAAGGACCACGATTGACAAAAGGGGATTGGGTTGTGACCCCGGGAGATATTGAGAGTGTGGGCAGCGTGGTGGAGGTACGGGCTGACGAATCCTTGGTCAGCCTCCTCCACAGAAGGAAGGAAAACGTCCTCTCTAAATACACCCCAGAGGCGGTGAGGTGGTGTAAGAATGTGGAGGTGTACGAAATTCGCATGATGAGGCAGAAGGATCTATGGGTCACCTTTCAACCAGAGACACCTCTGGAAGAGCTCCCCTTCGACCCGGAGGAGTGGCACTGGAGGCCTAGAAGTAGGTCGCCAGCAATAGGAGTGGCACTGGAGGCCTAGAGATGGAGGAGAGACACCATTAACTCTTCTAGGGGCTCAGACACATCTCTCGAACAGAGCGTCGGTGGGTCTGAATGTGTCTGCGGGGCGATGTGTGGGTCTCTAGCCTTGGCCAACGCCTAAAGTGGGGAAGGCAACGTTACCACTTCAGCACGAGTAAGAGCGGCTAACACTCCTACTGGCCCGAGGTGTTTCCCTGTGAGCTGCTCGCAAAAGCACTCCCAGGATTCGAAGATAAGCCCACCACTGTGGGCGAGGCTACCTTCGTTGTGACCTTTTTGCCTCAGCACATGCAAGTGCCCCTAGCGACTCGGTCCCTCCACACCTCGTAATCCAAACCAAGCTTCACCCATGCGGGTGTCCCTTGGGCTCCCCTAGCCTTTTCTTTGATGGGCGCCACGACTCCACCATGTGAAGTCTCGCTAGCCCCATCCTCCTCTGTCAACTCCCCAAGGTCTAAGAAATCGTCAATCTCAATCGTTTGACCATCGTGGTCAACGAACATTAACTGACCCTTCTTCTTCCAGTCTTGGGGTAGTCTCTTCCTACATCATGAGATGCCTTATGCGCAAACCCCAACTTTGCCTCAATGTCCAGAGCGTTCTTACTAAAAGAAGCGAAGGTGTGCTGTTCGACATAGGCCTCATCAACCAGATTGGTCCTTACCTCTGCAGGTAGGCACCTTAGGTAATCCGTCAGGAGAACCTGCTGGTCAAAACGCACACCAGGTACCACGAGAAGGCGTTCTACGGTGTCTGTAAGCTCTCTAACATCCTTGAACCTGCGGGAACAAAGGTTGTTGATAGCATCGGTGGCCTTTTGAGCCCCTTGCGGGTCATGCCACCTGTTGTAGAAGGATTGTACGAACTATTCCAATGTCTGGGACTGAGCCCAGGCATCGAAATCATGACCGTAGCCCTGTTGCTGCACTGGGCCATTCAACCAGCGAGCTGCTGATCCTTCTAGAAAAAAGGCAGCCACAACAACTTCTTGCTCTGGCCTTGTGAGCTTGTGCCTCACATAAGTAGGCACAGTCCTCACCCAGGTGTCTAAGTCCTCTTCCTTCTTCCTGTCACCAGAGAAGGGCTTGGGACTCATCAAAGGTATCTTGGGCATCCACTGYATAGGCTGCATGGGCCCAGGTGCTTGCTGCAGCGGCTGCATAGCTACTGAGACAAGTTGTTGTACACTAACCTGGGCCTGGCTTGACAATGGGACTGTGGTGACCACTGTTGTAGATGGTACGGCTGAGACTCTTTGAACCGGACCACTAACTACTCCTACACCACAAGGAGGGGGCATGTCAAACATAGGAGAAAAGGATTGTCCCGTGGGTCGCGGCATCGTTGAAGGACCCGCGCCTGCAGGGGGAACTACAACAAACTGTGGCTGCCTCATCACTGGACGAGGAGCTTGGAGTGCATCCAGAATTCGTTTCTGGCCTGCCACTAGATCAGTCAACAGTTCCTGTTGAACTGTTTGCGCTTCTGCTATAGATAGGACAGCATTACGCAGCACGCGTCCAGCAGGCTCTAATGTCGCCTCATCTAGGTCCTCTAGTCTGCCTAGTGCCTCCATCCTACTCTCTAATCTGGCCTTCCTCATGATTGCTTTTCTTCTCCTCTCTGATGCTTCGTCCAACTGCCACCGTAACTCATCCTGAAGTTCTTCCACTTTTTGGATTTCTATGTCCTCAGGTGTGAGTAGAGCCTGTTGGTTGACTTGCAAGCCAATAGATTGACTAACTGCACCCGATCCACCCTGTCCAGCCCCTGACGAAGAAGACTGGGAGGTGGACTGCGATGTCGAAGAGACGGTAGCCATCGCAGCCGCTAAGCTGGCTGCTGCGTCCCTATTCCTCCTCGCCGCTGCCCTCTCCCTAGCTTCCCTTCGTAGCCTCCTCTCCTCTCCTGGACCTAACACCAAGAAAGTCAGTTGACTAAGAGCGGTTTTCCGTGTGGTCCTAATGGGTTGCACTAGCCTTTGCTCCTCCTCACTGATGTCTTCACTCATGAGCTACGGTGTGTGTGATCTAAACTAGAACTCACACTGAATCCTACCTTAGCGTGACACACAACCGTCTGTGATATACAAATATTATCAGTCGGCATGAACAAAAACAAATAGGTGATATAATCACAACTAATGTCAGGTCCTACACGATATATCACATCTATTTTTAAATCAGTCTAATACAGATCACCTTACAGCAAAGAGTCTACTCTGTCTGTAGTTGTCTGTCAGTTGTCAGCAAAGTCTGTAACAACTAACTAATCAAAGAATGAAATAACATCTCCTGCTGGAGATGTATACTGGATGGCTCTACTACACGATAGTTAATTGCCACTGTGAACAGTTACCGGAATCCCCCCCTCCCCCTGTATCCTTCTTGATTGGTCACTTTGTGTCAACGTCCTTAGCATCTGGTTGAGCAGCGTGTCTGAAGGTGTGCAATCCGGCCCACCCCTGTATCCCAAATCATTGTCGAACATGCCAGCCCATCCACTCTTATTTATCCTCGTACGAAACGAGCCTTACCACCCGGTTTGATCTAGCTGATCCGGAGGGATTTAAGGAGAGCCCCCATCTCCTCAGGAATTATTTCACATCGCAGACAAGACGACGATCACAGCCAGAATCAACACCGAGTCCGCAGCCAGAAATATTTATAGACGGTCTGGTAGGCGTCTCATTAAAGGCTGGCATGCCTTGCACAACCTCTATTGCGCAAGCAGCAGAACCAAGGACTTGCAACAAAGCATCCGTGTACTACTCCCAGCAGTTTGGCATGGTGACCGTGACCCGAGTGCTTCGTCCAGGGCCCTTCAGACGCTTTGCCCGTCTCCCACCAGCTTGCTGCCCAAGAAGATTGTCGACTCTCAAGGTTGAGCGCTCGCGACACCTCACATCAAGAGGACTCTCAAGACAGAACTCACTTCCTCACGGTAAGAAGACATGAAGAGGGCATATAAGGAAGAGAGCAACGTACCTCATAAATGCTGCCCCCAACCACAGATTTCTCACCGACAACCTTATGTGCAATTATGATGACCGGTCTTTGCCTCGACACAACCAACAGCAGAATGCGGTTCCACCTCAACTTAATATGCCACATCAGCAAGTTCTCATCATCCAGCATACACCCCGTATGTCACCAAATAGCTCCCTGCCGCGCCCACACTACCCTGGGCCGCCTAACATTCAACGCCAATGCCTTATCACTGCCACACACCTCATGCGAAGCACCAATAGCTATTGCGAAGAACCATTGAAGCGCAATATGAACCAGCTCCAATACCAAATTGCAAGGAAAACAAGCAACAGCGAGATGACAATTCCAGTTCACACCATCACATTGAAAGCCAGATAGTCACACTGTGTCCAAAGAGTAGCATTGCACCAATAATACACCAATGGAGGTTCGTAGTACTGAAAACCAATGTTCACGGAGAGCAAACTCTCTCCCCCCAACACAAGAGTCCAGTTCCTTCACACTCACACTTGGCGCTCAGCGCCCAGCCTAATCCTACACAGCAACTACAGACTACAAAAAGACAATGCAACTGTTGACATCAGCGGCAACCCGAAGTACTTGAAGATGACGCTCATGCAGACCATCGCCAATATAAGGTAAGTGCCCTCACATCATCATCATCATCATCATCATCCTTCACCTATCCCCTAACTACACCCACACCTGTCCTCTCTTTCACTCGAAGACCACCCCTGCGCTTCACTACAAGCCCGCCAGCTATGGTGGCTGGGCTATGGCGCTGCCCTCAGCAGCGCCTTCCTCCTCTGCACGACCGCACGTGCTGCACCTCGCCTCCCAGCGCTAGCAGCAGCCCACGAGCATCTGCTCCAGCAGCGCTGCCGCCAGCATGCGAGTGCCTGAATGAGGCAGCCAGGGCCGAGCTCTTTCCTTTATGGAAAGAGTTGGCCTGCTCTCGCAGCCTGGCTGCACTGGCCTGGGCCCAAAAGCTTTCGGAAGGCCCCAGGACGCTGCCTGCGTACAGCAGCTACTGGGCTGCTGAGCCTCGTTCGGTTAGGCGCCCAATTGTCTCTGTATGAGGTTGCGAATCACGCCCAGGGCCTGCATTCTTTGGAAAGGCACGGAGGGCCGTGGAAATGTCTTTGTTGCTCGGCCTGTGTTTCTCTCAACCTACTGGCGCGTCGCAACTGCCTGGACACCAAATATGAAATTGATAGTCGAGGGCCTCTTGCAAAAAGCCATGCCCGCCTTCACTTAGGGCGGGTAATGCTGCAAACAGGGCCCCATAGGCCGACCGAGGACCCTGATCCTCGCAATTAGTAGGATCCCGTGATTGGGATCACGGCTGATCACCCAATCATGGGACAGCCAGCAAGCGGGAGCAGNGGATCCCGTGATTGGGATCACGGCTGATCACCCAATCATGGGACAGCCAGCAAGCGGGAGCAGCCCTAAGTGAAGGCTGCGCTCACCGCCGCTTGCTGGGTGAAGCATTTTCAATACTTCAATATTTTTCTAATTTATGAAATAAATTAATTAGTTGGATCCCGTGATTGGGATCACGGCTGATCACCCAATCA